AGTTGAAGTTTATAACGTCCTAAAGAAAGGACAACAAGACAAATAATTTAATTGAAGCAACCAGGGATCAGCAGTTGAAGTTTATAACGTCCTAAAGAAAGAAAACAGACAAATAATTTAATTGAAGCAATCAGAGATCGGCAGTTGAAGTTTATAGCGTCCTAAAGAAAGACAACATACAAATAATTTAATTGAAGCAATCAGAGATCGGCAGTTGAAGTTTATAGCGTCCTAAAGAAAGACAACATACAAATAATTTAATTGAAGCAACTAGGGATCAACCGTTGAAGTTTATAGCATCCTAAAGAAAGACAAATAATTTCAACACAGCAATGAAGATTGTGATGTCCTAAAAATTACAATAAACAAAAATAATTTAATAAAACCAATGTGTAATTAATCTTTTACAGGATTTTCTAGATACATATACAGTGGAGTATCAATTAGAAAAAATTACCACTAAGTGATTAGGACTTTTGTTAACAATCAGTCTTCCACTGGTAATATTCTAAGGATTTCATAAACGTGTTTATTTGTATTAAAATAGACATATACCATCAAAGCATAAGAATTTTGCATATCTGTATAATTGTGATCTCAAACACTGCAATACACCCCATTTCACAGCTATAACAGCTGTCAATTTTACCCTTCCACATCTAGTATAGAGGTTATTCTTTGCTTAACAGTCATGAATCTGTAGATGCTTTTTCCTACTTGGTGGTTTTAGTCTATCTCAATACTACAAGCAGAATATATAACATTGTTTCAGTTTTTATTATTTTCTTTTAATTTAACTGGGCAGCAGTTAGATCTCTGAAGAATGGTCCATCCAGCCAGTTAACAAAGCAGTTAGTTAACCCACTGATAAACTTCACAATTCTATAAAGAAGGATACTAAACTCAAGCTAATCTCCTGAAGGACAACAGTAAAATCATAACCCTTATGAGCTAAACTATCACTGTAAACACCATCCAAAATTATAGTATTTGTTTTCTAGTTTTATTTGTAATGAGTAGTTGTCATTTACTTTCAAAGTACTGAATAAAGTCATCACTAAAGAAAGGATTGTGACACTTTTTTTAATCACATACTAACTCCTTAAGAAGCCTCTCTGTAATATCTTGAACAAATTTCAAGAGAAATACATGGTGTTAACCTAACCTATCCTGAACACGTTTTTAGTGATACATGATGTTAACCTAACCTATCCTGAATACATTTTAGAGAGAAACTTGGTGTGAACCAACCTAACTTATCCTGAACATGTTTTAGATAGATACACGGTGTTAACCTAACCTATCCTGAATACATTTTAGACAGATGCATGATGTTAACCTAACCTATCCTGAATACATTTTAGAGAGAAACTTGGTGTGAACCAACCTAACTTATCCTGAACATGTTTTAGATAGATACACGGTGTTAACCTAACCTATCCTGAATACATTTTAGACAGATGCATGATGTTAACCTAACCTATCCTGAATACATTTATAGAGAGAAACTTGGTGTGAACCCCTCTAACCTATCCTGAATAAGTTTTAGAGAGATACATGGTGTTAACCTAACCTATCCTGGACATGTTTTAGACAGATGCATGATGTTAACCTAACCTATCCTGAATACATTTATAGAGAGAAACTTGGTGTGAACCCCTCTAACCTATCCTGAATAAGTTTTAGAGAGATACACGGTGTTAACCTAACCTATCCTCAATGTTTTAGACAGATGCATGATGTTAACCTAACCTATCCTGAATACATTTATAGAGAGAAACTTGGTGTGAACCCCTCTAACCTATCCTGAATAAGTTTTAGAGAGAAACTTGGTGTGAACCTCTTTAACCTATCCTGAACATGTTTTAGACAGATGCATGATGTTAACCTAACCTATCCTGAATATATTTTAGACAGATACATGATGTTAACCTAACCTATCCTGAATATATTTTGAGAGAGAAATTTGGTGTGAACCTATCTAACATATCCTGAACATGTTTTAGAAAAACCTGGTGTGAACGTAACCTATCCTGAACAAGAGAGATACATGGTGTTAACATAACCTAAAATAATTTGAACACATGTCTATAAAGATGCATGCTGTTAAAGTAAACCCAAAAGACCACTGTTCATATTTTACCAGCTTGATGTGGTCTAGGGATTGGCATTTCAGTTTCAGCCTCATTGGTCTGGGATTCAAACCATGACACTACTAGACATTCCACACTTTCAGCTTTGAGCATACTATACAGTACGATTTCAAAAAAAAGCCCATATAAAACTCATGTGGTTGCAGTTGTTGATGGCTGGGTGCTTTCCTCAGATCAGTAATTCAAATTGAGTGATGACTATACTTAACCCTAAGGATCTTACATTTTAGAAGGAGGTGTTACTCAGGTTGAATCCAAGAAAGGTTATCATTAACAGCAATATTATACCCAACTCATGATTCATTACTGTTTAATGGTGTTACTTTTACCCAACTCATGATTCATTGCTGTTTAATGGTGTTACTTTAACCCAACTCATGATTCTTTGCTGTTTGATGGTGTTACTTTAAACCAACTAATGATTCTTTGCTGTTTGATGGTGTTACTTTAAACCAACTAATGATTCATTGCTGTTTGATGGTGTTACTTTAACCCAACTCATGATTCATTGCTGTTTGACGGTGTTACTTTTACCAAACTCATGATTCATTGTTGTTTAATGGTGTTACTTTAACCCAACTAATGATTCATTGCTGTTTGATGGTGTTACTTTTACCCAACTCATGATTCATTGCTGTTTAACGGTGTTACTTTAATCCAACTCATGATTCTTTGCTGTTTGATGGTGTTACTTTTACCCAACTCATGATTCATTGCTGTTTGATGGTGTTACTTTAACCCAACTCATGATTCATTGCTGTTTGATGGTGTTACTTTCATTGTGTCCGGGTATATGGCTTTATAGGTGTTACTTCAACTGTGTCTTGGTATATGGCTTTATAGGTGTTACTTTAATTGTGTCCTGGTATATGGCTTTATAGGTGTTACTTTCCATGTATGCTGATTTATGACTTTATAGATTTTACTTTTCTTGTATACTGGCTTATGATACTAAGTATCTTTAATCAGGATTACCATCTCTAAATTACTTTTCAGATTTAATTTCTACATTTAAATTATTTTTTATCATTAGTTCTCATTAATTACCTGTCAAAAGATGTAGATTCTATTTTCTGCAGATATATAAACACAAGGTACCTTTTTATCACTAAAGATGTTTATTCCATCCAAATATTTCCAAAATTAAAGTTCTGTTTCCATTCAACATATGCATCATGCTGTGTTTAAAAACCAAGAGGAACAATTTTTATCCACACTTTCTATTAGTTATTGTAAACTCATTTAATGATTCTAATGTGAATTTAATATTTCAGGATAGAAAAAAAAATATCAAAAGAAAGATAATTTGTAATCTTTCTTTAAAAACTCACCTCTCTCAACTTTTCAGAAAGTTCCCCCAGGATGGCATCTTCATTGAAGTACTTTCCATGGTATCTATACTCAAAGTAGTCAGTGATTCGATGTCGAAGATCACGTGGTAGCCTACGATATGCCATATATTCTTCCACTTGTTTTAACTGTTGTTAGAATTTAAAATAAAAACAAAAATCTTTGTGGTCATCTCAGAAATATGTACCTGTTAAAACTATCAAGAATATTTAAAAGAACACTACATATATAAAATATGGCAAGACTTAAGGTATAAACAACTTAGCTGGCAGATTATGGCATTTAGTAGTATTACATCACAAAAAGGCTAATAATTATTTAAATCACATCATTATGGACTTTCAACAGAAAGAGTGCATAAAAGCATGTTTTGTCTATACTACTAATATAAATGGTGTATCAACAGAAATTATGTATGTTGTAATGCTACCAGCCTGAAGAGACCTGATATTGATCAAAAAAGCTTTTTCAACAGCAGCCTATAAGCAATTGGGTGAAAGTGAAAACTCCTTAACAGAAGTCCGTTCTGAACCAGAAAACACTGAAATGACTACTATGAAGTAATACACCATATATATCAGTAATCAGTCTTGTATTATATAGAACTGTAAGGATATGATAGTCAGTAGAAATCATGGTAAAGTAATCAGTATTGTTCTATACAGAACTGTTAGGATATGATAGTCAGTATAAGACATGGTAAAGTAACCAGTAATGTACTATACAGAACCGTTAGGATATGATAGTCAGTAGAAATCATGGTAAAGTAATCAGTATTGTTCTATACAGAACTGTTAGGATATGATAGTCAGTATAAGACATGGTAAAGTAACCAGTAATGTACTATACAGAACCGTTAGGATATGATAGTCAGTAGAAATCATGGTAAAGTAATCAGTATTGTTCTATACAGAACTGTTAGGATATGATAGTCAGTAGAAATTATGGTAAAGTAACCAGTAATGTACTATGCAGAACTGTAAGGATATGATAGTATAAGGCATGGTAAAGTAACCAGTATTGTACTATACAGAACCGTAAGGATATGATAGTCAGTAGAAATCATGGTAAAGTAACTAGTATTGTACTATACAGAACTGTTATGATATGATAGTATAAAACATGGTAAAGTAATCAGTATTGTACTATACAGAAATGTTATGATATGATAGTATAGCACATGGTAAAGTAACCAGTATTGTACTATACAGAACTGTTAGGATATGATAGTCAGTAGAAATCATGGTAAAGTAACCAGTAATGTACTATACAGAACTGTTATGATATGATAGTATAAAACATGGTAAAGTAACCAGTAATGTACTATACAGAACTGTTATGATATGGTAGTATAAAACATGGTAAAGTAACCAGTAATGTACTATACAGAACTGTTATGATATGATAGTCAGTATAAGGCATGGTAAAGTAACCAGTAATGTACTATACAGAACTGTTATGATATGATATAAGGCATGGTAAAGTAACCAGTATTGTACTATACAGAAATGTTATGATATGCTAGTATAAGGCATGGTCAAGTAATCAGTATTGTACTATACAGAACTGTTATAGAGTTAAATTTAAAGTGTGATAGTGGGACGTCGTGCCCTGCCAGTTTTTGCTTCACCCTGCTTCCCTTTTTGACCTATACATTGACCAATCGCTGTGCTCTACTACCTTTCTAATCCATTAATTGTAATCCACTAGACAAGTTTTTTACATATATAGAATAAACAGCTGATATGGGTATAGAAAACATTTATTTCACGCATATAGAAATTATTTAATGCATATAAATTAAAGTATAAAACATAGGCCCTAAAGTTAGTAAGCCACACGCATACCATCCTGCCCTTTTTTCTGGCTGGATATAACACTATACAGAAATGTAAGGTTATGCTAGTCATTAAAATGCATGGTAAAGTGACCACTCTATGTTCATCAATGGTTGTGAATGATTTCTATTAGGAGAGAAGATGAACAGACTAACTGTATAAAAGAGAACTTGTTCATACATAAACTGAGGCCAGAGGATTCTACTTTTAAAATATGTATTGGCTACCATAGCAACAGGCCTGCTTTCTGACCAGTCATAGTAGTTTTTCTAAACATACTGTACTTTATCTAAAGTAACTTCCTAACTTTGATCTCTTTTCCAATTGATGTGGCTCTGGTTAACTAGAACTGTATCACTAACCTTTTCTCTGTATTGACGCCGAGATGAATCCAAGGATTGGATGAGATTGGTTGTGTGACCTAAGAAGAGAGCATAGCAGATGGCACCACTGATCATGCTCAATAGAGTAAGCCACATGTCAGTAAGGCTTTGTGGAGGAAACCGGCCATACCCAATACATAGCATGTGTGACATGGCTTTGAACAATGCCCAGGAATATTGCTCGAACCAATAAACATCCTATAAGAGAGTTTTAAAAAGAGAACATGCAATATTTACAATGAAATGATATTAATATCTATTAACAAGCAAGTTTTCCTACTTATATCATGTGTTTAACTAATATTGTAAAGAAAATGTTTATCAAAACACTTTTTTTCTACTGATTCTTAGGCATAATGTGTTAAATAATTATTTAGCAATAAGTAACCAGTATTTGATATAAAAGACTAATACATCATAATGTAGAACAATTGCTTACATTTAAGTGAACAACAAACTGTCTGAACATTCCTAAGGAATACAAGTCTTTATTCTCCTGACTTGGTGTAATTCAGTTTTAACAGAAGTCGTGACACTTTTGAATAATATTAAAGTACATTAACGTCTAACCAAGTCACATTTTCACTTACTTGAAGCTCATTGATAGCTACCCAAGAATTAGAAGGAAATTCCTGTAACATCGGCACAAGAAACTGGAGACAGCCACTCCAATGTCCAATCAGTAACATCATGCATATAAGGTTGAAAATCTTCAAGAAGACACTCGCCATGCTGATGAACTGAAAACAATTTCATTGACTATAAAACAGTGATGCCTATCTAAAAGTAGCTTGAAAGTTTAACATTTGAAAGACAAGTAGATATAAGCCTGCATCCACTTTGATCACCAGTAACTTGATCATAAACTAACATTCACTTTCAACACCACTAACTCGATCATAAACTAAAATTCACTTTGAATACCAGTAACTTGATCATAAACTAACATTCACTTTCAACACCACTAACTCGATCATAAACTAAAATTCACTTTGAATACCAGTAACTTGATCATAAACTAACATTCACTTTGAATACCAGTAACTTGATCATAAACTAACATTCACTTTGAATACCAGTAACTTGATCATAAACTAACATTCACTTTCAACACCACTAACTCGATCATAAACTAACATTCACTTTGAACA